ACGGATAACGGATATTTCTGACCAATCACAGCCCGGCGGATTTAGGCATCGTAGGTGCTTCTTATGACTCACTATCTAACATTAGAGGATTTTTGTAAAACAGCAGCAGACAATCTGGGATAACAATTCTTTTTAAGCTGGTTTAAACTAGACGGTAGGCAATCTAGAATCATACTCAACTTTTTTTGTAGTTTTTTTAAACTCTTTCCTTTCTGTGAGCATTAAGAGGGCTTTTTTTAATCAAGCCCATTATGGGTTCGGCCAGGCCCAAATGGACAAGGTCCGATTAACCCCAAAAACTTCCTGGCTCCGCTGCATAAAGGGCTCGTAGTAGTTACAAACTTTATAAATTGCAAACAAAACGTGTCGAATCAAAAGTTTTGTAACAAATTACAAGCTACTACTCGTAAGCAATTTTGATTGCATTAAACTACTTAAAGTAACAAGCTACAAGTATTATAAGTCCTTGTAGCTTTTAATTAATAGCTTTAACTTTTTTGCAATAGGGCCCGGGGATTTTTCGATACGTCCGGATTAGACCCAAATAGCGAATTTGTTTTATAGAATGAGGATAAGTATAAGCACTTATATCAGAGAACTGTCCTCATATCGCTAATATATGTTAGCATATAGCAGTATGCACCCTTGTTTTGTACTTAAATTTTTAAAATACAGCAGAGCGTCGTTTATCCGAATCAATTGGGGACTGGGGTCGTTCGAATAACTTGTTTTTCGGATAACCGATTACGTACGAAAAAATATATTAACCCATCCCGTGTTGAAATTTCTCTCCGTTGCGTGTCGCTTCGCGTTGAATTTTCTCGATGTTAAGCCTAACGACGACTATTGTATCGTTAAAAATTATTTTTTTATTTTGTACAAACAAAATAAATATATTGAAAAATATAAAAACACTCGATGTTAAGCCTAACGACGACTATTGTATCGTTAAAAATTATTTTTTTATTTTGTACAAACAAAATAAATATATTGAAAAATATAAAAACAATAAAAAATTATACTTCAGATGTTAATTTAGTATCAAAAACGTAAAATATTTGAGTAGCCGAAGACATAGCCAAAGATTGCGGCGCCACAGCACTAGCGAAAATTTAAATTTGCCGACTGGAATTCTTTCGGATAAACGACGCTCTACTGTATATACGACTGCGAGTTAGAATCAGCCCATTACATCGTTTATACCGGTATAGGTCTAAGTTTATTTTATTCTGATTCTAAAAAATGCTTTGTATAGTTATTATTAAACGGATCCAAATGCCATAACAGAATATATTTATCACGTAAATTTTATTTCAAATGCCAATTATTATATAATTTAATAAATACAACATAAATTCGGCAATTACAATTAATTAATTGTAATTGTTGATGTTCGAGTGATAAGTGAAACAATTGGAAGAGTTGCAAGTAAATTTTCGAATGATTAGATTTGTACGCATTTATAAATACTTTGCATCACAGAAGACGAACTAAGTAAATACATTAACTACAGTTATATTTATTAAACTTTTGATAAAATAATATTTTTGGCTATCTGTATAAGAAAAGTGTATATATTTATGTTTGTGTATAGAAAAAAAATGATTGATTTATACATAACTTATTTTTTAATTATTTTTTACTTGTATAAATTGTATCGAATAAAAATTCCGTTCCTTTCCGTGTTCAAAAACATTTAATTAAAAAACATTGTGACAGAGAAGTAGAAAACGGCTTCCCGATAAAGAAGAATTATTAGGAAAACCTATAGGATCACCATCTAATACATTAGAAAAATAAGCAAGTATGATTTTAAAAAGCATTACGAATTATTAGAGTATAGAGTACGATAGATTGTAAAAGTAGGAAATGAATTTATAAATGTCTGTTTACGTTGTATCGGCTACTCGCCAGGTGTCACCGATTACTCTAATATCCAGTTAAAACTGATCAAATTACAGTATTAATATTGTTTTTCTTCTTCTTCTATGTTAATACGAAGAGTCTAGCACTAATTAGGCTCTTTCTCCGATGAGCAGTCACTCATTGGTCACTGGAAACGTCCGTTTCGAGCGAGTATTAATATTTTTTTCTCGCATATAGAAAAAATATGACAAAATGCATTTCGGATCGAACTCGATATTACGATCCTTCTTCGGTGTCTTCGCGTAACGTAAATGTACTACGGTTCCCCAAAGAAGAATTTGAGTTTTATAAAATATGAAAAAAAAATAAATCAATAATTCGTACAAAAACGTTATCAATAACTGTGCTTATAGCGTAATTGTCAGACGAAAGTAGAAAGACATTTATTTCGTAATAAATTGTACAATATGCAAAAAGTATGGGAAAATTCTTAAAGCTCGGGATATACTATAGACCGGGCCCGCTAAGCGATATTATATATCTATTAAAACTTTTGTTTTCCGTTACGCGTATACCAAAACTATTAAATAAATGAAAATTTGCGCGCGTCGTTGTTATAATGCGAGAGTGCGAGTGCAAACTCTCGGTATAACAATAAAATCTTATTCATTTTGTATTTGTTTTACTTTACTTAAAAAAGCGCGTTTGCCTAAATTGTGGCCTACCGTAACACTTTGGGTCGGCCAGGCCCGCTACACAACTTTCCTATTTATTCCCAAGTTATACTTTTTTATTCACATAAAAGTGCTATTGCGCGACTAATTCGGCACGGTTTTATCAGTTTAATATACTGTACATAGTTAAAAAAATAAAATTAAGTTTGCAAATATAACTTAAAAATCACAAAATTATAAATAGATTTTAGTTTAATTTTAAATCTTTAAAATTTTGTAAAATATTTGTCGATTAAAACATAAAAAACATGACGTTTACGTAAAAATTTAGTATAAAAGATTATTTTTAAAAACTAAACATTTCAGTTATGGGACGAAAAAAAAATGACGGGTGTGAAAAAATGTAATGGCGAACAAAGAAGTAAAATCGTTTGTTTAATCTTCGTAGCATTCCCGACCCCGTCGGCAAAATTGTTTCGAAATCTAGAATTACCTTGGAAAACCGAGATGTAATTATTTGGTAAACGATTATCCGCATAAATTGCTTTCAGAATCGAAATACGGCGCTTTAAATGTAAATATAATGTTCGAAAACGGAAAAAAGAAATAAAATATCACGCGTTCCCATATATTAGAAACATGTTTCGAAAGGGTGTTAAAGATCGTGTGGGCACGAGGAATGAAAATTAAGCGCGGCCATTAATTAATATCGATAAGTTTCGGAAAGAGGAGTTATATTTCATTTTCGGCGTTATCTAGCGAAAGAAAAAGAAAAGTGAAAAATGATATTTGGCGGAAATATATCGCTTCCCCGGCTGGAAATGGGTAAAAACCTAATTTAAAAAATAGAATTCTCCGCGACGTACGCGTCAAAAAGCGAAAGGCTCGTCCGGGAATCGAACCCGGGACTTCTCGCACCCGAAGCGAGAATCGTACCTCTAGACCAACGAGCCACCCGTCTCTAATGCAATTATTCGCTACTCGCGTAACGCGCGATTTCTCTTTGCGCTCGAGCTTAATTAAAATCCCGCGTGTATTAATGAGCCCGAATAAGTTCTATCAATCTCCATTCTGCGAAAGTATCGATCTTCTAACTATCCGCCACGATGAACTATTTTCGATGTTGTCACCGTAAACGTGGCACGAAGGCGTTTGCCGATTGGATGCGCGTTTGCAATCGGCGCCAGTAGAACAAACTTATTGTTTTTAGTCGCGGTCGAGCCGGTTTTCGAAGGGGGTTTACTAGTTAACGGGAACAGCCGTGGCGGTTGCGGTTGCCCGCGCGGCTGTAAGTCGCGTGGTGTGACCACGGCTTTAGGCCGAGACTCCGCTAACGTAAAAACGGGCGTAAAACCCTGGCCGTAAAAGTTTTTAATCGCGTGACTACGATATTTTACGCCCGAGCGGATGGCAAAACCGGCGTAAAAGCGAGTCGAGCGGCGTTCGATTTTCGACGCGAATACGGCCTAAAATGGTACCTTCGGCCAATCGGAAGTCGATGGAACTACGCCATCGCGACATCGTGCGAAAATTGCGGAAAACGAGCTTTTGTGTACGTTCTATCGTGGCTACTTCGAAAGACCTCGAATAGATTTAGAAAAATTTATCGAAAATACGCGTGTTTATATGACGAGAGACATCCCGACTATAAGAATGCATGCCTAAAACATTTAATGAACTCTGACAATTATGAACAATCGAGCTACCACGCTTTCGTTTCCAACAATTCACGCGCGAAGAAGTATATACTTTCGACACTCGGGGCGGCATCGTCGCCGTAAAAACTTCGCTAACTGGACCAACCCCCAATCCAGGCGCAAACGCAAATAGGTCGCGCGATTAAAAGATTTTACGGCAAAGGTTTTTACGCCCGTTTTTACGCTAGTGGAATCTCGGCCATAGTGCCCACGGGGCGAAAAGACTTTTAAAAAGGGGAGGAAAGAGAAAAAAAACAAATCAGAGCAGGTTCTGATAGGCGTGCCCGCGGGCGGCCAAAATCTTAGGGCGGCCGACAGCGCGCTTTAAGAAAATAGAGTTCAAATATAACCTATTATTATTTTAATACTGAAAATTTCCCCTCCATACATGACGGACTACTTTGTATGAGAAAGCAGAGATTGAAGAATTGAGAAGAGTACAGATTTCTAGAAATTCAAGAAAAGTGGTTAATGTTTCTACAAATTAAATATCCTATACTCTGCCCGTACAGACATAGTTAATGCGCGATAACACATTTTAAACAACAGGCTCGTTAGATTTCTTCCGATTGAATAATCGAACGTCGCGTAGTCACTATTAATAATTTATATAAACAAATTCCAATCCCGGAATACGAACAAGTCGGATTATCGAACAGAAAATTTTAACTATAAATCTATAAATTCATTTAAAATTATATAATTAAACATTTTTCTAAATAATAGTAAACAATTGTAAATTGATACTAAATACTGTATTATTATATTTAAATATAATTTTTAAATTTCGTAGACGGCGCTTTAGTTGATTCGATTGAAAAGAAACGTGTTTTATTTAACAAGAAATTTTAGTGTTTGAAAGATTCCCATGTCCGATTTAAATTTGCCAGCCAAACCGAGTTCAATGACTTGCTTTTCTCTCTCGGATCGAACACTTTATTTGTCGAGTAAAGGAACGGTGGCCATTCCTCCCGACAGAGCGCGTTTGCTGGTCAACATCTGCAGCCAGAAAAAAACTACGGACGACGTCATCAAAAGTGTGACCAAAAGATTAGATTACGTTACTGGAGTATTAAAGGCTTTTGGCATTCGGGTATGGCGGTGTTCGCATTTGAAAACGTAAAGGGCAAATTTCTCGGCAAACTTTTCTACTACAGTTGAAATAATGTTTCTTTCCATTGTTTACCCGATATTGTGGCTAAATATATGCCCGACTATCAAAATATCCAAATTAAGTCGATATTAAAAAACTTCAAATGATAATCGGGTATACCTTTCGTATTATTACGTAATCGTAGTAAATCCATAAAATTTGCATATCTGGTTTTCAAAGTATGATCTGTAAACTATTAGTGGGCCGCCGATTGACCCGGTCGTTTTTCTAAATTGCAATGTTCTTCGATGTTCGACGAGCAGAAAGACTATTTGTATTCACCACCTACCTCTTGGATTATCGGATGAAAAAATATTTGGGTGCTCGTATAAAACGGCTTTAGTGGGAGGAGAAGTGCGTACGGCGGGCCGTCCGCCACGCCCGGTAAAGTTAAGTTCTTCGCCGACGGCGTAACTTTGAAGAGTGTGCCGTAAACGAGTATTGTTTCCGAAGGGAGGTTAATTTGATAAAACGTCGAAACGGTTAGACCTAACGTTCCGACGCGTAAAGAAACGACTGCGAATACCCGATACGTCGTGTTACTAAGCCCGCCGCCGTCGGGCCGTACGGTGTCCGTAACGCTAATAATTTGTGTGGTAATTTAGTAGTAGTATAGCCGTTATACGGCCCGACGGCGTACGGCGGTGGTTGGCTTTAGTAATTCTGATACTTGTAACCGTTATGAAAATTAGTAAATTTACCTATTGCGTAAAGATTGATAAACTTATGAGTATTTTTGAAATAATTATAATTTCAAATTCATTTTCATTGCGTAGTATAAACTTAGATGATTTTTGAAGAAATCTGCAAGGTTTTAGTTATATATTGAAATATTTCAGTTGTATCATTTGATTTTTAGAAATATCATAAATAACTTTATCGGGTGTTATAAGTTAGATTTTAAAGTATGTTATTAAATAACAGTTCATATTTTAATTAAACAATATTTTTGTTTAAAATAATACTAACATTTCCTTAACATATAATTGGAAACCAAACGACTGACTAATTATAAAAGCTATGATGTAAAAATACTGTATATCTTATTCGAAGCAAAAACAAAGACTGGGAAAAAATCTAAATCTGATATATCGTGATTTAACGAGAATTAAATGACTTTCTATTTTCTGATGACTTAATTTGAGTGGAATGATATATCTTATAATTTACATTTCGAGATTTATTATACACTTAATTAATAAATGTGTAATCTTACAATAAATTTCTTGAATTTTTAAAGTATTGTAAATAAAATTAATGTAAAATGTAGTAAAGTAGTAAATAGCAGATCCAGAAATATTTAGGAGGGTGCAGAAGTGAAACATGTCTTACTACTTGAGGTACCAGGCTTTATTCTGGAGAAACAACCAGAAAGGGGTGCACTCCTCTAAAGCTGTCCCTGATTATTAAGTATAAATATAAATAATAAATAAAACTAATTTAAAATTATTAAGTGGTTCTTAAAGTGTTGAATAATTTTATATTTTTATAATAGAAAGATATTATCTTGTATTTTTATGTAAATTATTTTGAAATTTTGAAAATTGTTTGTAATAATTAGAAATAATATTAATGCACACTGTGGAAAAATATTTTATAAATCTTATATTGTCAAAAATATCAAGTAACTTAAGTTTTATTTCAGTAAATCATAGCTTACAATAGATGCTTACATTTTACTATCTTATTGTAATAATTTAAAATTTACTTTAATATTTTGTATTCATAAATAATAATAAACATTAAATTTTAGAGACTATTTTTATTATACTCAAATTTACATTAGTAATTTCCATTTACATTAGTATTGTTTGAAAATATTTTTAATATATGATATCAGAGCAAGAATGATCCATGTCTGTAAATCCTAATTTTCAGATGATTAGCAAAAACTTTTTCACAATATTTCTCATCTTTTTTCTTCCTTGTTTCTTCTTTTTTTGGCCTGGAACGTAACAACAAGTTTAATCAAACTCAAAGATTGGATGTCATGCTGATCCTTTTACTAAAATAATAAAGAAACTTTCACAAAAAAGCATTAAATACATTTAAAATAATGTTTTATTGCTGCCGGTGCTTTTGACATATTATAACGCACTGTCCTCGGGCAGGTATAAATTTGAATAAACCTTTTGAACAAGCTTTTTAAATTAAAAGCTAACGGCATTAACCGTTTGGAACAGATTATATAAATTAACAGCTAACGCTTAATGCCTTTAGCTTTTAATTTAAAAAGCTTGTTCAAAAGGTTTATTCAAATTTATATCTGCCCGAGGACAGTGCCTTATAATATGTCAAAAGCACCGGCAGCAATAAAACATTATTTTAAATGTATTTAATGCCTTTTTGTGAAAGTTTCTTTATTATTTTAACAACAAATTTGACTTGGATCTATATCGCATTAGATAAAGCAATTGCTTTTAATCACACTCCACCTGCTAAGGCTTTAACACCAAAAGCTGGACTTTGATTACTCTTACTCTGAGGCCACCATACTTACCTTAATAAAAAATAAAATAAAAGTAATTTCAATATTAAAACGTTTTCCAAAAATAATAGTAAAAGTAAGCAAGTATTAATAATTCTATATGAATATCTTTAGATTATAGAGACAAACTTCATCAAGACATTCAAAACGTAATTTCAAATTTTTTCTAAAAGTATTTCTTTATTTCAGGAAAATGATATGAACATAACTCGTTCACTGTTGTTTGATGAACATTATATAATGAATGCAGAAGTTGATGCCGTTTTCCATAATCTTGAAAATTGTCAAACAGTTGCCATTCAATTTACACAAAAATTAGGAAAATGTGTATCTGTATCACCTCCAGAATTTTTTCATAGCTCTCAAGCATTTGAAAAAGGAAAGTGAGTTTAAATTTTTACATTTGTTAACTTTTTGCTCTTATTTTGTTTTTATTCATTTACTCTGTAAAAGAAGTTTTAGTCTTTTTTAGTAAAAAAAGTCATTTTATAATTTAAAAATTACAATTTTGAAATAATATAAAATACAGAATACAATGAAACAATATTTGTCATTTAATATATTTTTATTTCCATTATTTTCAAGTTTATCTGACTTAATCTAAAATAATATCTTTAATGTTTTGTATCTTATGTAGATCTTGACCTATATACTCATAAATCAAAGAATTCAAATATGTTCCAGATGTCAAAATTAAAACAATATACAGTAGTTGTTTTTCTAAATTTATGACAATTATTTTAAGATAATTTTCTATATACTAATAAACTTTTAAAAAAAATGCTTTTTTGGAGCTCGCTAACTTATATTACCACTTTCTTGAATATTTCTAGGCCAGTGGTGCATGCAAGATTTAATTTTCAGGGAGCCAAGTTGAACAAATAAAAAAATTTATAATGGGATCTCAATAAAATTCCCACCTTATTATGAATTAGCAGCCACATAAGACCGCTAATTCACAATATAGAAATAGAAAATAGAAATAAAAAATGAAATTTAATTAGGAAAATATTTCTGGAAAATTTATTAGTGTTTCTTTTTCTTTTACTTTGGGAGGTGGTTTACCCCCTGGGTACATTGTTGTTTTGGACAAGAAATATAGTGAGTATCAATAAAGCAGGCTTAAATTGATTTATTTTAGAGGCTAAAGTTTTATTCGTTATTTCTTTATTTTAGTGTTATATATGTAGAAAAAACAATCATCTGACACTTGAAAATTCGAAAATCATTTACTAAATATACTTATTTACTCTTTTCTTTCTTTGATTTCTTTTAATTTTAATTCTTCATAATTTTTATAACAGTATTTTCATCATTATGATTATTGTCAGTGAAGCATACACAGTACATATGAATGAATGAATGACAATTTTTAAAATAGTTTAGAATTTATGCATATACATATACATACTGATAAAAAACTTCTCATTTTTTCTCTAATATATTTATTAAGTGGTTCTTAAAGTGTTGAATAATTTTATATTTTAAATAATATAAAAATTGAATCTTTCTATGATGAAGTTTTTTATATATACTGTGTGTATTATTTTGTAAAATCATTGATTGAAAGAAAATATGTGAATGTGTTGTTAATGTGTTCAAAGATCATTATTTAAAATTTTTATAAATCAAACCAATTATTTATATAAATTTGCTTAACTTTAAAAAGATTTATTAAAAACTACAAAAATCTTTCAAAAAAACATATTTTTGTTAAATGATAGGTTATGAAAATTGAATTACAAAATTTTATTTGTTGTTATATTAGCATAAGATCATGTTATGATCTTTCATAATTAATATTTCAGTATTTTTTAAATAAAATAAGCTGTTAAACAGAGTATATGTTACAGGTAAATAAATAAATGCCTTTTTTTATATGATGCAACTGTTATTGAGACAAACATGAAAGACACTAATTATTCTCAATATTTATTTCCTCAATCATGTAAATGAATGAGGTAAATGAAATATGGCATAAGTTGCATATAAGGAAAGCACTTATTTTTAAAATAATATTCTCAATATAGAGATAATAGCGAGGTTGCGGCTGACGTTCTCGTTTTAGAGATGAAAACTTCGGCCGCAACCTCGCTAATAAAAATGAAAAAGTTTTTAAATTTGCAGATATTTAAAAAAAAAAAACAGAAATTTGAAAATGAATTTTTTTTATTTGTAAATAAATATAATTTTACCTAAAAATGATTTAAATATTTTTATTTGTAAATAATATCATATTTATTCTAAATTTGTGTTTTCAAATTTGGAATTAATTTGTAATGAAATGGCTGCCACATTACTATTATCTTGAATGTGGATTGATGTAGCATATGTCACATATAATTGTTTTCTTTACTAATAANTTGAAACGACACTTTGAAATGTTTTCCCGATGAAAACGAATAATAATAATATATTTCAATAAAAATGATAAAATGAAAATTTAATTTTATTATAACGAGTTTGCTTGAATTTCATCTCTTCTGAGATCGCAGCAATGCGCGACGGGTAAGCTAGTTCTTAATATAAAGAAAATTTCTACTTTTTCTGCTTTTATATAACAAAGGGAAAGTATGGTGAGAATTAAACATTTTTGCATTTGGGACCTTGAAATGTAAGAGATGCAAATAAATTTGAGGATTTTTTCTGTATGTATGTATGGATGTTAGTGTATGTCTGGGGGGCATGATTTTGTCCACAGTTTTTAAAGCTTAATAATGACTGTGCTTTTTGTTGAAAATTTCTGAAATTTTGCAGGGAGGTTTGTGTATTAGGAAGAAATGTTTCTAAAAATTTTCAGGAAAATAGGATCATTGGTTTGGGAGATATGGTCCCCATTCCTTATTATCTCCCTAACCAATCTGAAGACTTAAAGGTAATGCTAGCAATTATTATGGATGAAAGCAAATAAACAATGCTGGGAAAGTCAAGCAACAATGTTGCCAGCTTTTATTTAGAGTTTATATTTGACTATAAAAGTTATATATATTAAGATGATAAATAATTTTTTAAATTATTAAATTATTCACAATTAAACAATATGATGTTAAATGATAGTGTAACTGATAAAATTTACTGTACTTATATATTACAGTGATATATTTTTATTTGTCAGTAATCCAAAATCTCTTGCATGAAAGAAATAATTTTTGAATTCATTGACTTTTTATTAAAAGATCTAGTATATCTTTAAACATTTAAAAGTTAAATTAATCACAAAATATCTTTCTTCCGCTGAACCTTTTTTCCTAAATTATTTTGCCTAAAAAAATGAGCTATTGATATAAATTCTAACATGGGAGGGTTTTCTCACATCAGTCTTACATTCTAATAAAATATATATCATTTATTAGAGGAAACAAATAAGAAGACCATACTTTTTCTTTTATCTATCAGGTCAACTGCTTGTGAGAAATAGGGTTCTAAAATGTTCTAATGTACAGTAATTTGTATAGAAATATAGTGCTGGTGGGTTTGTGATCACATTGGATATGTTGAGGGATCAATTCCTGTTGTGCCACATATTCATTCTGCTTGAGAATTTTACTTTTTATGGTTTAAATGTAAAGGAAACATACAATGTTTAAAACAAATTAATTGTTTACAGTGAGCACATGAAATGAAGGCATTTCTATCATAACAATCTTCTAATGAACACTTTGTTTTGGAAAATGTGAAATTTATGTCGATAACATTAGAAAAACTTGTAACGTTTTCTCCTGTCATATATTCTGACTTCAGCTGTGCATATAATAGCAGCACCTAATTGGTTATATGTAAATGATAAGAGCTCTAAAATAAATTTTGTTATTTAATTTAAAAATGGTCACATCATAGACTTCCACTCTGTTCATTTATTGTATTCTTGTTATAACAAGAATACAGGAAATGTGTAAAGAAATAAGCTTGAATTGCCTAAAGAAACAAACATCTAGAGGCTATGTGTACTTTATTGCTTTTGGGTGGGTTGGTGAAAATATGTGCTCTCTTTCTGTCAGAAAAATTTCCAGCATATAATGTATAATTCTTTTGTTCAGTTCACAAATCTTGTAAGAGAAATATTTTATCTTCCATAACTCTGGAAAGGCAGTTTTTTTATCCTGTGAACTACATGTATATTTTTTTATGAATCACACTAGAACATTTTAGAACCCTATTTCTTGTGAATGGCTGATCTAACAGATAACAGAAAAAATATGGATCATCTTATTTTTCCTTCAATTCAATGATATATAATTTATTAAAATTAAAACTAATGGAAGAAAACCTCTCTTGGAAGTATCTGAATTTAAATAAATCACAGTATATTGATTAGTAATTTAAACCAAAGGAAAATATATTACCATATAATGTAATAATTATAACAGTAATGAATTAATATCAATGTTACTAAACCTTTTTTGAGCTGAAATAATTAAAGCAATATAGTATAGCTTTTAGTCATTGTATGTCTCTGGTACAGTAAAATTTCCATCTTTGTCCTTAAGTTGCCATGACATAGAAATTGGATTATTGTCTTCTTTATTAATGAAGTTTTAAATAAATTGATATGTATATGTTATAATTAAATTCTCTAGTCCTTTTAGTAAAAAAAAAAAAGGACTAGAAGCTATATGAATAAAGATTAACAGAAAAGAATAATTAACTTCTTTTAAAATACTTTATTACAATTTGTTCTATTTAGAAGATTTATTTCAATTTACTTTTCTTTAAATTTAAAAATGTTTAATATCATGTACTGAATTACTTATAAAATAATATTAAATACAGTAGTGTGTCGTTTATCCGAATCAATTGGGGACTGGGGTTGTTTGGTTAACTTATTTTTTGGATAACTGATTATGTACGAAAAAATATATTAACCTATCACATGTTGAAATTTTTCTCCATTGTGTGTCACTTCGCGTTGAATTTTTGTCGATGTTAAGCCTAGCAAAAATTTTTATAAGAATAATTGTGGCTATTGTATCGTTAAATATTATTTCTTTATTTTGTACAAACAAAATAAATATATTGAAAAATATAAAAACAAAAAAGTTATATTTTGGAAGTTAATCTAGTATCAAAAACGTTCGATTCAGCATGACACAGTCTGACTGGAATGCTTTCGGTTAACCAACGTTTCGGTTGATTGGCTTTCGGATAAATGATGCTCTACTGTAATACATCTGGTTTTCTTCTTACTTAAATCTGTTTATATTTCCTTCTAGGAGAAAAGCAACTTTAGAAGCAATTAAAAATTGTTATGACAAAGCAATAGAATTAACAAAAGTATTTGGTGTGACAGTAGCAAAGCCTATTGAAATATCTGAAGAACATAATAAATTATTCTTGGAAAATACAAAATCATCTGATGTTAAAAGAGAGACAAATATAAATGATTCCCTTGCACATAAATTGAAACTTTTAACATATATCTCAGAAAGTAAAGTTAATATGAAATTTGAAATTAAGGGAGAATATAAACAAGCAATATTTCTTTCTTGAAAGGTATAATAAAAATAAATTAATATTTTTATTTACAAATTTTTACTAAAATTAATTTTGAAATTTAATTTAGATCAGTCCAGCTTGAATATACTTTTAAAATGTTAGGTAAAATGTATGTATTTATTTCTGTACATAAATATATGTCATAGTATTTTTTATAGTTACTATCCTAAATAGTTACTAGTTTCTATATAAAATTTTCATCCTAACTATAATTTTGCAAACTTTTTGTAATGTTTAAATACAAGTTTATTCTTCATAGGAGTCAATAAAAAAAACACTCGACTCCGACTCCTGAAGTTGGTCTACTAAAATTATCAAATTTTAGTAGGCCAACTTCGACTCTCAACTCTGGCAAAATTAAATACCAGGTCATTTTATGCACGCTCATAGGGGATTACCCTACTCTGAACGCTGAAAGATGCCCTAGGCATTTACCCAAATACTTTTATAGTTAGTATTTTTAATATTTAACTTACATCAATATTTATTTGTATTAAAAAGTTAATTTTTAACAAATATTTAATAAGAGGAAAAAGGGGATCAATAAAATTCTACAGTTTTTGCACTTCAGTTTCACCTTTCCAAAAAATTAGTTCAATTAAAAAGTGTGCAATCTAGTTACTTCAGCCCCTTGTTCAGAAAAGAAAAATATATACTCTGATCGATTAGTCTGGCTCATTCAGAAAAATAGAGTACTTATTTAGAGCGGAGACAAGAAAGGAATGAAGCAATAATATTCAAATTCAATTGGGTCAAAATAATTTAACTACTAAACACAAATACTACAAAGAAAACTATTGATACATATTTAATAAATTAAATTGTAGCATTTTGTATTTAAAATAAATGAATTATAACAAAATACAAATACATTTTAAAAAATTAATAAATATAAAATAAATTATCTTTCATTTAAATAAAAAAACTAAATTAAATTAAATTTAAGATGCCGGAGTTGAAGGCGACACATTTTTCCATACACTGACTCCTCTGGCCAGAAATTCCTTCCCACTCCGACCCCACAGCCCTGGTTCATAGTGTTAAATAGTGAGGAAATGTTCAAATCCAAGACTTAAACTAAAAATCTAGACAAAAGTGCAATTCACAAAAGGATGTGAAGACCAAATCTCTTACAAAGGAAGCAACCTTTGATTTTTTATAATTATTAATTATAACAATTGTTTGATAACTTTGCAATCAGTTATTTAAAATTCACAAAATAGGTTTAAATTGTATTAAAATTTTAAAATAAAGAAAAATCTTTATAGATTCTAGTTTAGTGAAATTCAATGGTTTCATAAATGGTGTTATCTTAAATGCATTTGAATTAATGGTCAATTTGTTAATTAAGAGAAAAATGATAATTATCTAATGAGTGATAGTTACAAATAACAAATATAGTGAAACAGAGGTGTTTTTAGTATAAATAGTATAAATTTCAAATCATCCTGTAATCTCAGCCACATTATTTTAGTCAAATATTCTTTCTATCACCAGTACAGTGTGTATTTCTATTAATAGGACTTATTAAACTGATATATAAGATTACTGCAAATCAGTCACACAGATTAAAATTGTTTTATTTACATTTACCTGGACACATACATATTGCATTTCAGACTTGTATGCCTCTCTTCAGCAGGTATTTAACTGATAAATTCTACATAAAAATTAAAACAATAAACACATTTAAATTTCCAACAATTTGTTTTAAAATATTCTGACAATAATAAAATGTAAAATTCTTACAATTTTGATGTTCTTTCTTTCTGTTCCACTTTTCATACAATAATTCAGTTTAATTACTATTAATATTAACTTTAACACATTCCTATATTAAAGCCATAAATTATTACTTTAAACAATAACATTTAACGTATTTGTACATTTAAAACTAATCTCAAACTTACATCTCTACTTCTTGTTCCTCATTTTCACTTCGTCTTGCCCTGTCTCTATCATTCTTTTTATATGTCAATTTCCTGTTTTCTTCTATGAATATTCTCCATGATTGGTGTATTTCTCTTCTGGTATTATTATTTATACTATTGTTTTGTTTAATTATATTAATATGTTCATATAGTTGCCAGCCATTTATAATTATTTTTTTCTTTTTTCCTTATTTTTACTGAATTTAATACTATTTCACATCCTGTTGAATTGCAATGTTTTGCTACTACTGAATTTGCATAATTTCCCTGTATTGCTCTAATATGTTCATTTAATCTTATTTTTAATTTTCTTTTTGTTTCACCAATATATGTTTTTTTCCGGATTACAATTACAATTAAAAGAATACACTACTCCTTTTTCTTTGGTTATATCATATTTTTCTTCATTTCTATAACATAGATGTTTCTTCGTTGTATTAACTTTTTCTGGTATTATATTAATTTTATTATTGAAAGTGAAAGTGAGGAACAAGTAGAGATGTAAGTTTGAGATTAGTTTTAAGTGTACAAATATGTTAAATGTTATTGTTTAAAGTAATAATTTATGGCTTTAATATAGGAATGTGTTAAAGTTAATATTAATAGTAATTAAACTGAATTATTGTATGAAAAGTGGAATAGAAAGAAAGAACATCAAAATTGTAAGAATTTTATATTTTATTATTGTCAGAATATTTTAAAACAAATTGTTGGAAATTTAAATGTGTTTATTGTTTTAATTTTTATGTAGAATTTATCAGTTAAATACCTGCTGAAGAGAAACATACAAGTCCGAAACGCAATATGTATGTGTCCAGGTAAATGTAAATAAAACAATTTTAATCTGTGTGACTGATTTGCAGTAATCTTATATATCAGTTTAATAAGTCCTATTAATAGAAATACACACTGTACTGGTAATAGAAAGAATATTTGATTAAATTAAGGACATTGAGGCATATTAAATTAACATTATTTTAGTGTTTATATTGATAATTGTTTGAGTCATCAGCTTTTCAATATTTAATACTAAAAAATTAGATCTGTTTGCTGTTTTTACAATAATTATACAGATATTAGAACAGTATAAAAGTTTTAATAAAAAAGTTTGAAGAAAAACATTAGCTTTTATGTTAATTTGACTTGGAATTCTTAATAGAAATTTAAGTTACCGTATTGATATTTGTATAGTATTTAACAGCACAGGTGAAGCCAATGTATTGGTTTTTGTTGTACCGTATATTGTCTCGGGTCATGTATCTCTGTTGAATGTTCAATTGTGATGTCAGTCTCTATGTTGTGTGCTCCAACTTTGTATGGAGTATCACATGATGCTTTAAAAGTGGGCTGCATTATAATTAAATCTTGTAAGTTTAATATCAAAATTTATGTCCTTATTTTCCACTATAACACTATAGATAAGTTATGGGCATGATTGAAGTCAGTAGCTTGTGATATTTATGATCCGTGCTTTGATTGAATTTTGGCAGAATTTTGTCATTGTGAGTTTTCTTTGCTGAAATGAATGTCATACATTACTCACTGTTTGTGTCAATGAATTGTAGGAGCACCTGATACACAAGATACTTTGTGTTATGACAAATTGTTGGTGTGCTTAAATCAATTTGTTGAAAAGAGTTTCTTTGTCGATACACTTGATGAAATTTGGAGCAAATATGGTTCGATAATTTTTGGTGACAGGATGATAATCTAGTACGGAACAGGAACAGCTTGCCGAAATGAAAACATGGTCAACCCAATAAAGGATATGAAAAACCTTGTGTTATTCCACCTTGTTACTGCTTGTTGAAGACGTCAAACAAGACAATGGTGTATGATGGAACCAGCTGGTAGCATAAACAATGACTCTAATAAACAGGAAGACAATGACAATGTATTGTCTGATAATAAAGAATTAACAGACAATAATAGATAGATATTTTTTATTGATAATATACCAAAGGTACATTCCCGGTACTGTTTACACACAACCGGATGAGTCGTGACAATGAATACAGTTTACAAAGAAAATTGGTAAGAGGACAAATACTATAAATACAAACTGTTGGAGATAAGTGACTAAGACAAACTAATAGATGCCATAAGTACAAGTTTCAGAATTGAGATAAGTAAAACACATACAAAATAATCAAATGCAAAATACTTAATGTAGAGTAAGTAACAATAGTGAATATGCTGCTTGTCATGTATAGTACCAAAAAAAAAGCAAACACACGTTTACACAATCAGAAATGGTATATATGCAGTAGAAGGAAAACGTGGGCATGCAGGCCCTTGTACAAACATCAAAACAACGCGGACATGCTGGTAGAAGTGACAAGTCCGATACATACAAACACATATAAACAGAGGAGGTTAGGCTCGGAAGAGCACTAGGTGTAGGTAGGCACGGTAGTTCGTTTAAAGTACATGTTTACAAGGTTACAGAAGGCACTGTAGGTGTCCTTGTGCCTGAACAGACAAATAAAGTTAGAGGGAGGCCAGTTGTAATTATGGGCTTCAACAGTAATTTTTAGATGTAGACGCTCCTGTTCCACCATCGGGCAATGCAGGATGTAGTGTCTGCTACTGTCTGTGGTGCCACAGATGGGACACATATTGTCAGTTCTGCCCTTGAATCTGGCGAGGTATGAGAAGAAGGATCCATGATTGGTGAGCATCTGCGTCATTTGATGATTTGGAGAATAGAAATTACTATTTAGTAGCTGCTGGATGTCCGGTAAGTAATCGTAGGTGATGGTGTTGCTCTCATTCCAGTCCTGCTGCCACTCGATTAAGTCACTCCAAAGGATAGTTTTAATAGTTCTAATGTCCATTTTCTTGTAGGATATGGGTAAGTCGTGATTACCTGAGGCCTCCTTAGCAAGGGCATCAGCCCTCTCATTACCATGTTGGCCCTGGTGGGCCCTCGTCCAGTTTATTTGGTAACGGCAAGAGGAGGAGTTGATTGTATCGAGAATAGAGTTAGCAATTGGGTGTAGACTCCTGCCCTGGAGAAGAGCTAGTGCTGAGGCACTGTCAGTAGTGATACAGATAGCATGTACTCATATCTAATGTCATAGATTACATTGAATATTTGTTGAAACTGTTTTAACATGTCAAGGTGTAAACCAGCGAACTTCAATGTTGTATACTAGGCATAATTCTAAGCAAAGATGTTCCTGGTAACTGTAGCTGAAAAGGAATATATAGCATGTCTATTTTGTTGTATGGCATATCTAGCTTGTACCTGTACACTGGACTTGTGATCATGATGATTCACATTCAATAAATGATTGTATAATGTTTGCTGGTGAAACATCAGTATTTTTAGCTTTCACAAAAAGAATTATATAGCTTTGGGCATAATGGAGGTAAGTTTTATGCCATGGAATTTGTGAGACCCTCCAGGTTGAGCAACTCTAGAACGATGTGCTTGCTGAAAAAGTTCCAAACCCTCGCTCTCGATTAGAAACTCTGATCCAGCGGCGCAATAACCTGTTTGTCCCTTGCAGATACCCATGCATGTTTCATATGTCAAAAATTACCCGAGGCAGAAACTCGAAATTTTTAGTATTACTCAAGGCATACCTCAATATCAATCAAAATGTTCAAAATAATTTATTTTAGTAAATTTTTTCATTATTTTTAATTAAAATTACTCGGGTGATTCATAAAATTATACTCTATTAAACGAGAAAATTTCATGAAAATGTTATAGATTTGACTTAGCCCTTTAATATTCTGCAAATTTTCCCCCGCATTTTACGAACAGTTTTAGCACTATTGGATTAAAGTGATGGTATAAGGCAGGAGTGGCCAAGAGTTTTTGTCCCCGGGCCGAATTGGAAAGAACTTTTTCCACGGGCCGAACCAGAGGCTGCCCTAGGAAGATTTTGAAGTGGTGCGAGATCTCATTGTAGTGTCACCTCGTAGAGACTGAATTGTAGATAGAGATTACGGATACATTTTTCACATTATCATGTTTTATCAACACTACGCTGTACTTACGAGATTTGTAATGGAGGGATGACTCTAAACGCACAGTGAGGAGTTGACCTTTTCTTTTCTTTAGGCGTCAGAATTTTTCGTCGAACTATTCGGGCTTCAGTAGCTAATATTGAAAGATTGATCGCGGGCCGTATGTTGGCCATGCCTGGTTTAAGGCAATGTAACACGTGAACAATCTACCAAAGGGAAAGTATCATGCCTTCCGGGAGGATTTTCTATGAAAAAATGGCTCCTATTTGCGTCAAACACGTGAAGAAAACTCATTTGTCGGACGCAAACTCGTGACCAATTACCGGTACTTTTAATGGTTTTATCCACTCAGCCACTAGTTAACACGAATTGATACGAGATGTAAGTTAGTGTTTGTATAAACAGATCTGTTATAGGCTATTCAATTTGTTTTTACTTTCAACCCCGTGGGCACTAAGAAGGTGTTTTTTAATCAAACCCATCGGTTCGGCCAAGCTCAAAATGGGGCGGCCTGGTGTTGAGAGCGGGCCGTCATATCCGGATCGAGCGTTATTTAAATAAACGTTTATAATACAGTTTAATATTTAAGAGGTATATTCAATATTGGCGCACACCGCCGACAATGGAATCGATGTGGTTCAAATGGGCTTGTTAAAAAAATTCCGTTAATGCCCACAGGACGAAAAGAGTTGAGGAAAAAAAACCACAGAGGTGATTATTTTATCCGCTCTCATAAATTATCATAATTTGCAAAATATTCTAGAATCACATAACATATAAATTCATATAAAATGCCGAATGTAGTAAGTACAGTAAATTTATAGATAACTAATCAAATGTACATATATTTTTAAGTTCGATTTAAAAGTAAACAATGGAGAAATGATTATTAGGATGGCTGAAAATTCACAGCTACATAAATTATATTGGCTGCATTCAGCAGACTCAACAGTTGGGCACTTTTCTTCCGCGTACCGCTGTTTCAGAACATATTTAGTATTTTGACGTCGCGCTAAGTAGCGTACGGTATTTCATGTACGCTACCTTTCGCTAGCAGCAACTGATCAACGCTGGCTACGCCCATGCAATCCAATATATTAATACAAAGGTATCCATTACAGCATTTTGCATCAACAAGCGTTCACGAGCAACCGAAAACAGATATGTCCAATATAAATTTAAAAAAACACATTTTTTTTATGATACCGTCTTCCCGTTCCAAAGTATCAGCTGATTCTCATTGCAACGTAACAGCAACCGAACGAAACACTTACCGAACACAGTCAACGTGTTTAATATGGTTTTCCAGAATTATATAGTCTGTGGCCGACCAACTTTTTCGAGGTTCGCATTTTCTAACAATTCGTGCCGAATTTTTTGTTTTAATTTGTGTGGTAATTTCTCAACATTTTAAAAATTAATTAGAGATAAAAGTTTTTAAACTTAAAAAATAAATACCGTATTTAAGAAGCATATAAGACGATTTTATCACAGCTTCAAATTCCTAGGTCGTCCTATACGCTCGAGCGAAGGATTCTTCGCGTTTTTGCAAATAATTTTTGTGAACCGCGTATTCGCATTTTTTACCGGACGCTCACCTTCTTGTGTTTAAAAATAAAAGTATTTTATTTGAGTCGTTTGAGTCGTTCTTGCGTATTGTCGGGAATAAAGACGAATAGCGATAGGAAAAGCGTGGCTTTTGAATCGAAATTCCAAAATCACACACGGGAGCCCGATGTAAGTTTCAATCCATTCCCACGCGAAAACGGATGATTATTCGGAGAAACTCGTAAGTGTAATCGACGGAAAACGAATTCGACTGTTAAGAATTGGAAAAAAAATTCCGGATTGTCTATTTTACAAGATTTTTCCTTAAAGTTTAAAACGCCAGTAATTTTTGCGGGACAATGTGTGCATTTACGTGCATTTGATATTTTACTCGCGATTAAACGAAATAAAACTAGAATTGTATTAATAAATCTAATTTTCTTTATTTTGATCTGTAGTCACGCGAGTAAATGCGGTGTAGTCGAGTTGGCAACACTGAAAGTTTAGGCATGATCCGTCATCTGTTTGGTTTCGTGTTACGGGTGAGATAGGAAAAGCATTTTAACTTCTTATTACCTATCGAGTCAACATTTGAATTTGCTCTGAATTTCTAATACTTTTAAGTGTATCTAGAATAAATACACTTAAATACATTGTTGCCTAAAGGAGAATTCTTTTCTGGTTAAAAATAAACAATACAAAATTTCACTTGTATTGCTTATTAAATTAATTTAATGAACTATTAATGAATTGTTCGTTAAATTAATAACGTAGCTATACATTTTCCAATTGAATTGGTCGTCTTATTAAATGAAAGTAAGAATGAACACGACCCTTTCACCAGTGTTTGTTCGTATTTTGCGTATTTTAATTATAGAAAAAATATAAGAGGGTCTAATGCGCGTTACAACATTAATAATAGATATTCCTACGTATGTTAATATACAAGTGGTCTCGATTAAATGAGTTTTTTGTACTGTGTTTATTGCGCGTGAAAAGAATAAAGGCCGGAGTTTTTCTCTAATTGTATTGCCGGCAGGTTGTTGGGATTGCGATACTTCTCTATTGGGCAAAACGTTCGAAAAGAACAGGATCCGGGAACGATTCTCTGCCGGATCCTCTTCGAAATTTTATTTGGACGCGTCCGAACGTCGGTCCTACTTTTTGGAGGTGTTTTCTAAACTGTTCGCTAAGAGAAAATTCGTATTCTTTGTTACGAATGTTTGGTAAACTTTAATTTTTGTACGATGTACTATTCTTGTAATCTATATTCTTGTAAGGTGAGTAATCTTGTGTCGGCAATGTTAGAAAACATTTTTAGTCCTTTCGTAAAGATATAAGTACTAAACAGTGTTTTAAGATATTATTCCGACATTTTTTTATTGTAAATTTTTATCTGTTTTTGCAAAGAATTTGGTTCTGCATAAAGCAAGTTTTCTACGCAACTCGTGCAAAGATGCTCTCGGAATCTCGAGTTCTTTTGTTCGTATAAGAGCAATCCAACGACCCCGTTAGGATACCAATAGTGTACAATGGAGGAAAAATCTTGCTGTAAAATGTTAATCACATTTAATAACTATTATCTTGAACACAATTGTACAATAAATGAAAGTTCAGAATTAAACTCTATATATGTATATGATTTATAATTTTATATTTTAAATAATATAAAAATTGAATCTTTCTATGATGAAGTTTTTTATATATACTGTGTGTATTATTTTGTAAAATCATTGATTGAAAGAAAATATGTGAATGTGTTGTTAATGTGTTCAAAGATCATTATTTAAAATTTTTATAAATCAAACCAATTATTTATATAAATTTGCTTAACTTTAAAAAGATTTATTAAAAACTACAAAAATCTTTCAAAAAAACATATTTTTGTTAAATGATAGGTTATGAAAATTGAATTACAAAATTTTATTTGTTGTTATATTAGCATAAGATCATGTTATGATCTTTCATAATTAATATTTCAGTATTTTTTAAATAAAATAAGCTGTTAAACAGAGTATATGTTACAGGTAAATAAATAAATGCCTTTTTTTATATGATGCAACTGTTATTGAGACAAACATGAAAGACACTAATTATTCTCAATATTTATTTCCTCAATCATGTAAATGAATGAGGTAAATGAAATATGGCATAAGTTGCATATAAGGAAAGCACTTATTTTTAAAATAATATTCTCAATATAGAGATAATAGCGAGGTTGCGGCTGACGTTCTCGTTTTAGAGATGAAAACTTCGGCCGCAACCTCGCTAATAAAAATGAAAAAGTTTTTAAATTTGCAGATATTTAAAAAAAAAAAACAGAAATTTGAAAATGAATTTTTTTTATTTGTAAATAAATATAATTTTACCTAAAAATGATTTAAATATTTTTATTTGTAAATAATATCATATTTATTCTAAATTTGTGTTTTCAAATTTGGAATTAATTTGTAATGAAATGGCTGCCACATTACTATTATCTTGAATGTGGATTGATGTAGCATATGTCACATATAATTGTTTTCTTTACTAATAAAGCCATAAATACTAATTGTATTATAGATATTAATAATGTACATAACTAATAAATTAAAATGATTGTAATTTTTATTGTATATTTTTATTAAAACAAAACTATTGGAAAATTATGGAAACATTTGAATAAATTTGTTATCTTTATTAGTTATCAATACTTAATTNTGTTTTAAATAAGTTCATTTTTATTTTCCTCTAAAGATCTGAAGTATGCAACTAATTAACTTGATATTATATAATTTTGAATGGTATTTGCTTTAAAAGTGAACAAAAATAATTTAATTTGATATTTTTCAATTATATTGTAATCACTTATATCTATATACAGAAAGGGATATCATCATTTAAATTTGTGAATATTGATTGAAATATAAATCAATAAGAAACTATGTGTCTACAAAGTCAACATTGATTTAGCATAGTATTGTTCTTATTGATTGCATGTAACATCAAATTATAATTCATAAAAATTATTTAATGCATATATAAGAAAACTATTAAATCTGTTTAATTTATTGATATATTAGGAAAACTATAAGATGAGATTTTGACAATAATATCTTTATTTTTTCATTCATATAATTGCTACATTTAATACTGATCGATCTTTAGGGAAAGTTATGCCTTCAATATAAAGTGCAGACTGTGCCCCTCTTGAAAATAAATTTTTGCTTTTATTAAAAAATATTTAATAATACCAAAATTTAGAATTGCTTCTTGATAATATCAAGAAACAATTTTAAATTTTTTATTGCTAAATAAGATGTGACACATATACATTTAAAAATTAAATTATAAAAGTGCAACTTAATAAAAGAAGTGTTAAACACTGCTAATATATTAAGTCGCATTTTTATAATTTAATTTTTAAATGTATATGTGTCACATCTTATTTAACAATAAATCTTAATAACACTTGGTTTATAAAATATATTAATTTGAATTTTAATAATTAACATGCTATGTTTAAAATATGTTTTTTTTTACAGTTTTTTTAAAGGAGAAAGAATTTACTTAAATAAAATTGAATGTGAGAAAGAACTTGAGTAATAAATGATTATTGAATAATGAATCTGTGATTAAAAAATTAAGTAAGAAACTATAAAATTTTGTATTTTATTTAATTATAAAACAACTATTTTTCAAATTATTGATTTTTTAATTTTAATAATTATAATTTATTTATTTATTTCATCTACATTAGGAAATGTCACTGGACAACAGATCTCCCCCAATTAATAATAAGACCCATAATAAAAAAAAGATAAAATACATAAAAAGAAAATAAAACATAAATGAAAATTGCAAGAAAAATATAAATAAGACAGAATACACAAAAAATGTCTAAAATATTAAATACGTATAAGGCTAAAACTATGACAAAAATTTAAAAACAATATAATAATTGAGGCAGAGTATAGGATATTGCCATAAAATTCAATTGCATAAAGTGTAAAAGAATTACAATGCAATAAGATATATAAATTAGTTATAGCCTGATAATATGGCAAATCATTTGGCATTACTTAAAAATTGTATGTGGATTTATTACTTTATATTTAAAATGCTAAATGTTAAAATTTTTAATTGATACAAGTTATATTTTAATTAACAACGAAATAACAACAAAAATTTTGTAGTAATAGTTAAATAATAACATTTTAATTGACTTTTGTGTGAATATTAATTATTTTTTAATGTTTGTAATCTTGAATATAAATCATTTTGGTTTCAAAACTTTTTATTTTACTTTTCCAGTAAAATTTTATAATTAATTTTTAATAATAGCAAACTAATATATTATTATTTTATTCTGTTCCAGAAAATGACTGTTATTGTTGACAAAATTATAAAGAGTTTTGCATATAAAGCACATTTAAAATCTTTATTATTAACAAGAAAAGTTTTAAATCAACAACCAACTGTGTATTTATCGAGCACACCGGTTCGTCATAATCCTAAATACATTGCCAGACGGGCTGTCCTTTATGTACCAGGTCATGATGAAAGGAAAATTAAAAAAATTCCTGCCTTGAATGTAGATTGTGCAGTACTTGATTGTGAAGATGGTGTTGCAATTACAAAAAAGGTATCAAAATGCTTTATATTAATGCCAAACAATCTGCTGTATTATCAGGCTATAATAAAGCTAATTTAATAATTAGATATCAAGTAATTAGAATAGACATAGATGGTTAGGCTGCCATCTCACAATAATTTTAATAATTATAATGTATTAATTATAGCTCGATAATATGGCAGATCATATGGTATAACTTAAAAGTTGTATTTGGATTCATTGCTTTATATTTAAACTAATAAATATTAAAAATTTTTAATTGATACAAATTAGAGGTATAAGTATAATTAATATTCAAGAACATACTTAAATAGGAACAGACTTCGATTTAAGAAAATCAGGTTGTTATATATTTTAGGTTAGTATTTTGATAATACCAACCTAAATTTGATGATAAAAATTGCCATAAATAAAATTTGATGATAAAAATTGCCAAGTGCCTGAAAGTAAATACAATAATAATTTGTGTTTGAATTACTACTAATATATTTTAGGTGTCAGAAAAATAAAATTATTTTGGACATTTAAAAAAATTTTTATGTATTTTACATATATAATTTAAGTTTCAAAGTGTTAGACTTGCAAATACAAAACTATTTAACAATATTGTGAATTACATTATACATTAATTCTTATTTGTAAATTCACTTACCATATTTTGACGAGTATAAGTAGCTGTCAAGTATAAGATGCACCTCTATTTTGAGACAAAAAATTTAGAAAAAAACTGTTTTAATGGGATTGTCTAAAGATGCATTTTATTCGTTTTTTTATTCAATAATATGACAGATGGATGAATCAATACCTTTATTAAACTGAAATAATCGTCATTTCTTAATGTAAACTTAGAGGTCACATGATGACAGTCGACAGAACATGGCAGCGATGACTTGTGTGTCGCTACTCTGATAATCTAGATCAGTGTTTTTCAACCAGGGTGCCGCGGCGCCACGATTGGGGTGTTGCAAAGTTTAGAGCCTTTAGGCATTTTCTTGGAAATTTACTTAAGTGTAGTTCGAGATAACTCATTGTCAGTTCTATTTTGCTACGAGATATCTAGTAAGCAAAGAAACTATCACTAATCACGTGTTAATGTAATGTTCTACGCTACATGTACGCACGACTTGTCACGAGTTTGCCCAAACCACATTGCTTGGCCTTCACATTCCCAGTCCCAGTACCAGGCCAACTACCAGAGAAGAACGACGTGGACACTTTTGTCTTGTATATACTTTAAAAAGCGTTGCATTGTACTTTGAAAAGCGTGTGGTTTCAATCACAAAGTAGGTGCATATTACAGTATTTTCATAGTATTCAAAAGCAATGATGACAAATAAACAATTTTTATCATTTTTTTAATTTAAATTTTTTAAATTGATATGAAAAGGATAAGAAAAAAGTAATGAAATATTTATTTTATATATGCATCAAAATAGTATAAAAAACTTAAGAAAAATTGTTTATCAATAAAATGATAATATAAAATGATGATATATTTGATGATAAAACTATATTTAAAAAACAATAGCGAGACTATTATTTTACATGTAGATATTTCGACAAAATTCAATGAACTTAAATTTTGATTTTGAACACGTAGAAATACTTTTGCGTTGTGCATAATATTCGTTTTCGCAAAAAATTCATCTTGCCCATTAGTCCCCCCTTATTCAGATTCTAGATCCGCCACTGGTCAAGGGTGTCACAATTTGTTATTTTTCAATTAGGTGTGCCACTCAATGAAAAAGGTTGAAAAACACTGATCTAGATACTCTAGCCATTTGGTTGAGGGACCATCTGCTTAACGGACCACTGCACAGGTTGGTCCCTAGAGTGGACCACTACTTTAGGTAATTTCACTGTAAAAATGGTTACCTGTCAAGTATAAGACGCACCATGATTTTGAGTTCCAGAAAGTAGTATAAAAAGTGCGACTTATACTCGTCAAAATATGGTATATAAAATATAATATTTAAATATGTATGATTTCAATTTCGACAATAGGAAGAAGCAAGGCATAATATCCGAAGTATTTTAGATGAGATGGAATTTGGCAGAACAGAATGCTCTGTAAGAATCAACTCTGTTGAAAGTGGACTTGCTGAAGATGATTTCACTGAAATATTTAAAGCTGTTAGATTACCTCCAACAATTATGATACCTAAAGTAGATAAGATTCAACATGTAGAATGGGTATGCTTTTTCTTTGTTTCTTTGTTATTAGGTTTAATTAATTAATTTCCAGTTAATTAATATTAATAAATTTTAATTTTCAAGCATATTTTTGTCATAGAAAGCACACTAACGCAATTTTCAGTTCAAGTATTAAAATGAATCTGCTTTTTTTTTTCTTCTTCATATTTCAAATCTGTTTTGTTTTTTCTCTTGCAATCACTTTAATTCACACTGTTTTGATTTTTTAATCTTAACATTAAAAGTCAAAGAGGTTGTAACTTCAGAATTTCAAATGATAATTCATATCTTGTAGCACATAGTTTTGAAGGATTTTTAATGCAAAATCCAATTGGTGCACTCAGATTTGAAATTGAATTAAGCATTCAGAAGTTATACATGAAAAACTGTATATATTAAGTTCTTTCAAAAGTCTAAATTAAATGTTTTCACTGAAAATATTTTTTACAATAATTTGTTATTGTAGAAAAATATTGGTAGTTGTATTTAATGTGTGTTACTTGATCCCAATGTTTCTGTTTTTATTTTATCTCTTCTGTGATTGATTAAGAACAGACTTTTAATACACCACTTACATTTTAAATATATTTTAGTGGATGGATATATATTTTCATTACTTCATACATTTGTTTTTTTTTTTTTAATTTTAGGTTTTTAAATTTTTCAATAGATAGAGGTTTTAGTAATACGCTTAAAAAAATTATATATTTCAAGGCTAAATTTATTTAAAAAAATAAAATTTAATCTGGTTAGCATATTACATTTGGTTTAATTGTATTTACAGTAATTGATGCCTTATCATAGATAAATACTGCATAATTAGATGATCAAATTAAGGAAAAAAATCAGTTTTATTGTTATGCATGCAAATAAATTATGTCTTCATGAATTTTGTAAAATTATGAATAACAACAGTTGTTGAATACATAAAAGTTTTATCTAACTGTATAAAATATTTGAGTAATGTTTCATTTAACACATTATAGGTAGCCCAACAGATTAAAAAACATCTTAAAAATCGGCAGTTGCCAGATAAATTTCGTTTGATATTATTTGTTGAAAGTGCACAAGGACTTCTGGATTTAAGAGATATTTGTAAAAGAGCAGTAGAGTTATCAAATGATTATCCTTTTGTATTAGATGGGCTTATATTTGGTTCAGATGACTACTGTGCTGATGTAGGTAAGAAAAATATTTTAAAATAATTTTAAATATTCCAAATCTGTTTAAAATATTAAAATTTATCTTGAAATGTATTTTATATTTTAATTCTGTGCTTTTACTTAAGTTAATTAAAGAATTATTTGGTTATCCAATGATAAGTTACTCGATCGGTAATTCTATATTTATGAAAATATTCGTACACTATATTGCGTAGTCTATCAAAATATTACTCACATTCATATCCGAAGCAATTATTTTCAAGGAATAAAGCAGGAAAATCGCAAAAGTTTCTCTTTCGCATTCAAAAATCGCTTACTTACAACAAATAAACTAAAACAATGGAAAAGTGTATTATTGCATTTTTCCATGTCATTTACACGTGACAATGAAAGGGATAAAGTGAANGAAACAAATACTTTAATTTGTCTTTTAATGATAATACAACACGTTTACTTTTTGATGACATATCGGTAATATTAAAAGTAAATACTGTATTTAAACCGTGATCAAATTTTCAAGAAACAAACATTCGTATTGAATTTGGACTACTACTGACCAACGCTAAACAGACTACCTATTGAAGCGATATACTTGCGCATTATCCTTTCGGTTCTTAAGTTTGCACGTGGCCATCCATCTATAATATTCCTTTTGTACAGTTGACAAGCCCTGTATCAGTCTTTCTAGGTCAGGTACGCACGTTTTTAGGGTCTCTCTTTTGGTAGGAGTTGGAGCATACGCTGGTCCAAATTCAAGGATATTTCGTACAAAATTAGGGACCTGTATGCCGTCCCACACGACGAATGGATATTTATGCTGTGTACGGTTGGCTGGAAGTTGATACCTTAGAATCCAGTCCAGTTTCTTGCGGTATTGCATTTTAAATTTATATCTAAGCCTTTCTTGAATAATGGCTATCTTTGCATTTTCCACCTTAAGAAGATGTGGATCCAGTTGGAACATGGAATTTTCTGTATGTATCAGGCGTGTTAATCTGGAATACATTAGTTTCCTGATGGTTCTAAGAACTCTATTCATGCACATCCATCTGATCTTGGAAATCAACAGTTCGTTTCCCTGGGGTAGATAAATGGACATTGGAAATACACGCAGTTCTTTGCAGGTCTTCAAAAAATAGAATCTCTCTCTAGCCTTAGTAAGGCTTATGACGATATTGCGATATGTATAAGTCGGCATAACTCACTATAAATAAAGAATCTTCAAATACCGAATTAAAATACAAAAATAATCCCTCATCAAACCCTTTAACTGGTATTAAATAAGAGTAAAATTACATACAAACGTTTTCGGATCCCTCCCTGGGTCCTTTCTCAAGTAAGCATTCTTCGTTAAAATTCATTAGAACGAAGACCAGTAGAACGACTTTCTTCAAAACTGCGATGTTTGAAAAACTACTTCCGAACCATATTTCAAAAGTCGAAATTCAAAAAAGTCAAATGACTACCTATTGTTTAAAAGGCCCTCTGGTAGCGCAAGAAAACAGATTTTATAAAATAAAAAGCAGTTGAAACTGCATTTTTATGAATAAAAATTTGACAAACTATTTATCGTTTTATGATGAGTAAAATTTTTTCGTTGCGTTTGCAGCTTTCAAGTAATGCATAAACCTTCGAGGCGTGAGGCCCTTCAGACTGCGAGGCATAGGCGGTGGCCCATGTCGTCCATGCCCTACCTCACCCTTGGTCATAGAAATGATGTAATTTGAATATAAATTATTTATAAATACGTATGTCAAGTTATATTTTTATTACGACGTAAAATATATTTAAGAGTTTACGATCACTGTGTTGGGTGAGACGTTGTTGAAACAAAAAAAGTTACGCATTCCATCACGTACATAAACAGTGTTGTAATTTGCCAAGTGCAAATCAGCAAATTCGTAAAATTCTTGTTTATTTTGAACAATCTGGATAATCGAAAATCCGGATAATAGAGATCCGGATAATCGAGGTTCTACTGTAATGAGAAATAAACCATATTTGTTAATGTTATAATAATGTTTCTAGATGAAAGAATTATACAACTCATTGATTCTATATTAAAAATCATGACTACTGTCTTCATTTCATATAAATTTGTGTTTGGTTTTCAGAGGTAGCAGACAAAGTAGACTCAGTTCTATGTTATCTGAAGTAAGAATACAATTACTTGCCTCACAAATGTAGACTTATAAATTTAACTACATTTTGTGATTGGGCTTATAATTTTGTGTCACATGTTGTCTGTAAATTTAAGTCAAATGCATGTGGTATTCAAGCTTTTACTTACTATTTTATCAAGAAAAACACATATAAAAGCATAAAGATAAATAGAAAAGTACAGTGGAACCTTGCTTAATGAGCACCTCACATAACTAGTATTTTGCATAACGAGCAAAACAAATTGTAAAAACGTGACTTGCTTAACGAGCGACGAGAAAGGGAAAGTCCTGGATGGTGCGCATGCTCCATTGGTCTGTGTTTATCACTCGTTCCGCTAGCATCTTAGTGCTGCTTGTAATCAAACATTTTTCCAAACTTGTGTTCAGACATATTACATATAAACATCAAAAACCATCACCTGTTATATAATAAACATGCCAAACAAATTCTTGGGCTATGTAAAGGCTATAATTAAATATTAGAAATTAATTAATTTGACTAGAGGTAGGCAGTTAGTCTACCATCTTGTATGAAATTTAATGACTAATTCCAAATTAAATTTTGGAAATGTCTAAATTAAAAAATAATTCTTTATAATTATTAAATTTAATATGAGATGGTAATGTAACTGCCTACCTCTAGGCAAATTAATTAATCTATATATATAATCGAGACTAGTTGATAATAATAATAAGTGCAGAGCCCAAACGGTTAGGAGTTGGAAGCTGAAATTTGGTACACAGTTAGGGTACGTCACAAAAATGCACACTAAGAAGGGATTTTTCGAAATGCCCCCCTGGGGGGAGAGGGACAGGATTAAGCTTAACACTTCCATCAACAATAGAAGTGTTAAGTAACAATTAAAGTGTTAACAATGGAAGTGTCAACAATGGACGTGTTACGTAACAATGGAATTGTTAAGAGAAAGCGACGTTTTAAGAGAAAGTGCAGTTGGTTTTCGTTTTTGCAGGAAATTGAAGATATTTTTAGACCCATGTAAAAATTCTCTAATTAGTCTGGAAACGGGGGATCCAATTTTTGCATTCTGTGAAAATGGGTAAGGTTGACTATAATGTAATAATCTTAATCTTCGCTATTGTTACTTTTGCCCGAGCAATGCTGGGCCCACCTGCTAGACTTGCAGAATAGCAGGTGGGCCCAGAAATATTAGAAACTAGCAGGTGGAGTGCCCACCTGCTAGTTTCTAATATTTATTTATATCCTTTACATAGCCCAAGAATTTGACATATCATTTGATGTGTTTATCAAACATATTATCTGTGTTATCTTTTTTTTTGTTTTCTGCAAATCGAATTTGCATTCCAGGTTGTTCATTCCATGCTAGAAGAAAAGATGATGATGATTCACAGTCCTTAACAATATATATTGTATAATTTTCTTTGAATAAACATTACACATAAAATATTTGAGTATTTTTTTCAGCATGGAATGCATTATCGTATTTTACATTAATTTATATAGGAAAAATGGTTTTGCTTAATGAGTGTTTCACATTATGAGTAAGATTCTGGAATGAATTATGCTCATTAAGCAAGACTCCACTGTAAAGGGTTTAGTAAGTGCTAACCTAATTTTTTGATATCACCAATGATTGTAGATGAAAGGAGTACAGTAATGGTCATACCACCAATAATATGCTGTTTTGCAATTTAGAACAAAGGCTATTAAATTTGGCTAGAAAATTTAATAATGTTTGTGTGTGGTGTCTACTTACTTGCCAAGTCCATAGGGAATGCAACAGCTCACTACAGTTGATGCAAGGAGAGTAAACACATAACAGAATGGACAAAGAGTTTGGTGCCAGCTAAACTATTTAGAATTTATCATTATGAGAAGGAACCTATCCTTACAAATTAGAAATTGTTTCAATTTTATTGCTCTTAGAACAATCTTTTACCAAAAGGAGTTCTGCAGAACATCTTTTGTCTTACTGAGAATTATTTCCTAATTTTTGTGATTTATTGTTTACCACTAACAATGCTGCAAAGTAATCAAGTGGACAAAGGGTAAAAAGGAGAAAGAGTAATAAAAGTACAGGTATTAAAAGGATGGTGCTAAAACTGCAATGATAGGTACAGAGGATCATCTAAACCAGTGTTTTTCAACCTGTGGGTGGCGACCCCAGGGAAGTTGCAAAGCCAGGGGGATCGCAGGTAAAAGAAAAAGACAAGGGTTTGTAGGTCCTACACTACAATAAAAAAACTACAATTTCAGTGGGAAGGCTGTACCTGTTTATTATACAGTATAATTGGTTTTTCGATTGATACTTAGATCAACAGAAAGAAAATTAAATACAGTACGTCGTTATTAAAATCATTGATATATGGCCCTGGGGGGTCGCCAGAAGTTTTTAACTTGTAAAGGGGTCGCATATTCAAGAAGGTTGAAAAACACTGATCTAAACTATGCCCTATTGGATACCCATGAGTGGTTTAAGGATATGGGACACCAGATTAAAAAGGCCCATTGCTAACTGCTGATTATCCTAGAGAACAAAGCCCAATGTTTAAGGAATACACAGCCACTATCAGAAATAAGAAAAATCAAAGCATGTCACTAGAGCAGTAGCTCATCAGAAGAATCACATCTGCCTGGATACATTTGCAGGACTAAGTACCATATGACAGTAACCAGCCCATGTTACACCTGAAGCAAAGTCTCAACAAGAAGGAATTTCCAGCTAAATCACATTTACATGAAGTAATTGGGCAGGTAAATGGCAGAGAGAAAGAATCTACTGAGAAATTCAAGTATTGAGATGTAAAGATCAGTATTGGAAAAAGGAAGCAAGAAGAAACAGTCAATGGAATGACAGCAAACCTGTCATTCCATTGGTTGAAAATATTTTATATCAAATTGTTATATCTATATATATATATATAAAAATGGACATGTATGTCCCTATATTTCACTTTTTTGCAAAAACTACACATCGCATGTGAATGGTGTTTGTATGTGGTAGTAGCCCCAAGTCTCTATTCGTGCATAGGGGTGGTTGCGTCTCGATAGCTATAAGGGTGCGGGAGATATGGGCTTGAAAGTGGTTGAAAGTGGCTTTCTATTTCGAATGTTTTGTTCGAATTTGTTCGAATTTAATTCGAACAATGTTCAAATTTGTATCAGTTCGATTATAGAACGATTGTAAACGTTCCTGAAATGTTGAAAATAGTTCGTTTGACCGGACGTGAACAGGAGATGTTCAGAAATAGAATCGGGACCAGGTCTCTAATTAGTCTGGAAACGGGGGATCTAATTCTTGCATTCTGTGAAAATGGGTAAGATTGGCTATAATGTAATTATCTTAATCTTCACTATCGTTACTTTTTAAAAACCCAGCGAAACGGGTCCTTGCAGCAAAATTCTAGATTACTTAGAAAAACAGTCTTTTATATATAAAAAAAAACTATATTACATACAAATGTACGAACAAATAAAAACCCAGCGAAGCGGGTCCTTGCAGCTAGTGCTACAATATAGTTTTCTTATAATTTAAATATTGTTACTGAAGGAATAGTTATGATTTTGTTTCAAATATCTATATTTGTTATTATTTTATGCATATAATTAATTTTATATATCACAATTTTATATTTTTTAGTTCATTAGTATTTTTTACTGGAAGTTTCACAATAATATAAATAAAATACAGTAGATCCTCGTATAACGCGTGTTCATATAATGCAGATTCGTATATTGCGGCAAAAAAATTGCGACTGTATTCATATAAAGATGCTAAAAGAGACTTGTAAAATGCAGTTAAATGTCATTGCTGACTCATATTGCGACAGGATTGGTTGAATCTGGACCAATAGTGGACGAGCAGCTGAACTACTTATACGCTACAGAGAGTTTAGGCGGGTAAGTCGAGTTTACTATAGTCTGTACAGTATATAGGCCTAAATTAGGTACTGTAATTTTATACATTTCTTGTGAAAAAACATTTCTTATTCAATGGTCATAAAAATTATTTCTATTAATGATGTATCCAAAGTTCAACGAATTTTTCGCAGAAAAATAACTTATCAGAAAACATGCCCGCTGTTTGGTGCGCTGCTCCGCGATGAAAACAAGCTAAGCAATGGCATGGTTGAACGGTGCACACTCAGTAAGTAATCCTACAATTTTTTGTTTATAGCATAGTTTATACGGATTATTCCCAAAAAATTATACGTGTTTTGGAAATGTTGAGTCAAATTAGTNTTGGTGCGCTGCTCCGCGATGAAAACAAGCTAAGCAATGGCATGGTTGAACGGTGCACACTCAGTAAGTAATCCTACAATTTTTTGTTTATAGCATAGTTTATACGGATTATTCCCAAAAAATTATACGTGTTTTGGAAATGTTGAGTGAAATTAGTTTAGAATCAATTAATTTTATGGAAGAAAACCTTTCAAACAGCCATAGTCTGTAAACTGCACATGTGCTGGGCTGTGATTGGCTCATGTATTTAAGGATTCCTACAATGCAAAATTCTTATAAAGCGGAGCGTATCTACGCGTTATAGGGGGTCGACTGTAGTGAATTAGCATAAATTTTACTTGATAAATTTAACAGCTGATTTAAATTTATTATTTAATTAATGATTATAAATAAAATTTGACTTTTATTTTAGGTGCCACTAGAACTCCAGAAGCTATTGAATTATTGTTGGCTCGACAACAAATTGTTCTTATTGCAAAATCATTTAGAATACAAGCTGTTGATTTAGTATATATTGATTATAAAGGTTAGTTATATTGATGATAATTTATATATTTTATATACAAGCTATTAGATTACTTTACATCCTATTTCATTAATTTATCATTTTGTAAAATGATTCTTAAAATGTCAGATATAAAAAATTTTTAAGTTGATTAAAAAATGAATAACACAACTTTTAAACATTAAGCAAAAACTATTTGCTAAATTAATAGTGAGATTGAGGCCAAAGTTTTAAATGCAAAAACATGTACGTCAGATGTTCAGCACTGCTTTCCTCTAAGCCTAGAAGTTTGACAAAAAATGTGATGTTTATGGTGGGAGTGCTGTAGCAGAATCAACTGTTCAAAAGTAGTTTTCAAAATTTAAAGTGGGTAATTTCAGCCTTGAAGATGCTCTTTGCTCAGGAAGACCTCCTGTTATTGAATGTCAAGCATGATTCCACTGACTATCCAAACACCATTGTCAAACTTCTAGGCTTACAGGAAAGTGGTGCTGAACATCCGACGTACACGTTTTTGCATTTAAAACTTCGGTTTCAACCTTGCTAATGTTTTTGAACTAGTTATAGCTTTTCATCAGGTTTAAACTGAAATATTAAGAATCCAATAAAGAAACAGAAGTTCCATCATTGTTTGCTTAATTATTGGGTTGTTCGGAAAGTTTGTAGCAATTTTTGATAGCTGACAGTTGAGACACTGATTGATGTGAAAATTATTAGAATTGTACAAACCAATGAATATTACGGTAAATGACCTTGAGATGTGTCCATTACAAAAAAAAAACCATTAAAATTATTCAAATATCATTTAATATGTCTCATTGCAAAAATGGATGCAAACGTGTATTATCGACACTTTTTTTTTATTGTAAAGGCAAAAATGCTGTACAAACAACAAAAAAAAAAAATGTGATGTTTATGATGGGAATGCTGTAGCAGAATCAACTGTTCAAAAGTGGTTTGCAAAATTTAAAGCAGGTAATTTCAGCCTTGAAGATGCTCTTAGCTCAGGAACACCTCCTGTTATTGAAGAGGACTAGATCAAAGCATTATTGGATGAAAACCCTCATTACACAACTCGAGAGATTGCAGACATAGTGAAGTCATCAAACAGTACTGTATTTCAACATCTAAAGAAGCTCAGATATGTGAATCGTTACGACATTTGGATACCTCACGACTTAACAAAAGAAATTACTGGATTGCATCCCCATTTGTAATTCTCTTGAAAGACAAAATGAAAATGACCCTTTTCTGAAGCATTTAGTGACAAGTGATGAAAAATGGATCGTTTATAACAACATCAGCTGAAAACGATCATGGGATAAGAAAAATGAACCACCATTAAAAATTCCAAAGGCTGGTATTCATCCAAAGAAGGTCATGCTCACCGTCTGGTGAGATTGGAAAGGAATGCTGTACTATGAGCTGCTTCCACAGAATCAAACAATTGATTCTGATAAGTATTAGCGAGGTTGAGGCCGAAGTTTTAAATGCGAAAACGTGTACGTCGGACATTCAGCGCCTCTTTCCCGTAAGCCTAGAAGTTTGACAATGGTGTATAGTTGGTGGAATCATGCTTGACATTCCAAACACCATTGTCAAACTTCTAGGCTTATGGGAAAGCGGCGCTGAACGTCCAACGTACGCGTTTTCACGTTTAAAACTTTGGCCTCAACCTCACTATTGTTCCCATTTGGATAAACTGAACATAGCAATTAAAGAAAAATGTCTAGAACTGGCCAATAGAAAAGGCATTGTGTTTCACCAAGTTAATGCCAGACTGTACACATCTTTACGAACACGCCAAAAATATTGGAACTAGGTTGGGATGTTTAATCTCACCCTCTCCATACTGATTTGACCTTGTCCCATTGGACTACCATTTGTTATGTTCTCTGCAAAATTTCCTTTACGATAAAAACTTTGACACTTTGGAAGCTTGCAAAAACCAGGTGAATCAGTTTTTCATGGGAAAAACTGGAAAGTTCTATGAAGAGGGTATCCATAAAGCTTTCATGGATACACACACACATATATATATTGCAAACATAAGCTTAACAACATACAAAATCCAACTGCAACTATTAGAAATCAGAATAAATGATTCAACTAGTTTAGCATCACTTGTATATAAGATTTTTTAAAAGTATCCTGTATCTTCATATATGAGTTTGCTATAATCAATATTTTTGAACAGTTTTAAAAGTACACTATCACTATTTAAAATAATACTAAGGCATATATGAAATTTGCAGATTTGATTCAGATTGAACTTCTTTAGAAGAAATTTTATTTACTTTCTCATTATACTCAATTAACTCAAATACTGGATGTAATGAGAATGTACTTATACAAATGTAAATATCTATAAACACAATTTTTAGATTAAAGCAAATTATATTACTTGACATTTAATTAGTAATCAGTAGCATTAATTAATATAGCTTAATGTAATCTGTCAGTCCTTTGGGTGTACTTATATTTTTGATGATAAAGAACAAAGAATGAATTATAGAGATTTTATGTTTATTATAAAATTGATTTCAGTTTAGATTTATTCTTTCTTCTATAATTTTTATAAAACATTAATAAACATCCACTTATACTCAATAAAATATTTATTTCCAATATGTATCTTGTCATTATAATCTATAACAGGTAGTATGAGTCAGGACGTTTTATTTTATGTGACTCATTCATGCTAGTTAGTCTCATTGCAAGTTGGTTGCTTGTAATGGTAATAACTGTAGCCAGTCAGATAGCGTACAGTATTTCACTTTAATTAACCCACCAATTGTATTTAATTATGACTTTCTATACATTTTAAGTTTAATTATAAAATTATGAATTCATTACAGTTTTACAATTAAATTCTCTTTTATAATATTTTAATTAATAATTTTAATGTAATAAAAATAAATTCTTAAGATTTTGAATGTTTGTCATATTTTTGTATGGTTTTTCAAAATTGATAAATTTTTATTTTAGATTTAACAGGTTTAAAAAAACAATCAATTGAAGGAGTTCGGATGGGATTTACAGGAAAACAAGTAATACATCCTGGTCAAGTGCCTGTTGTTCAAGAAGCATTTTCTCCATCTGTTGAAAGAATTAATTGGGCAAGAGAACTTATCAAATTGTTTGAAGAACATCAAATATCTGGAAAGGTTTTTATCATGTTCTTACTTTTATTATTTTATTTTAATCACCAAAAAATATAATTATGAAACATTTTGCTTCTTTTTTAAAAGAATAATTATTAAAATTTTATAGAATTCGTTTTCAGGATTAAATATGGAAATTAAAATATTTTGTAAAAGTAAAAGTTAAATTTTCCTCAATAGAATTCCAAATTCTTTTGTATTAAAAAAACTTTTTGTAAAATTTTTTCTGACAAAATGTCTTAAAATAATATAAAGAATTTGCTGATCACTTCTCAGTTACAGAAACTTGAGTAATTTCTAAGCTAAGCACTTTTTATTATAAGTTGAAGTAGTTGTTATAGTTCATTTTTATATCTTTTTAGGACATTTCTAAAAATATTTTTAAAGCTTTTTGTAAATAATTCACATTTCTGTTTAATTTATTACAAAAGCTGTAAAAATAATTATTTAGATTTTAAAGTTATTTGATAAATTTATAATAATAATCTGTTTAAAAGACAAAGTTATTAAGTTTAGGAAACAGAAACTGTTCTTTATTCAGTAATGTTTTTCACTATTCTCAGCTTGCAAAAAATACAAGCAAATGATATAGAATACAAAATTTATTCATTAAATATAAATTACAGTTCTTTCAGTAATTCAGTAACGAATTTTTATTCCAATTTGTTAGAATGTTACTGAATACAGAATAATTTTGGTTTCTTGAACTTAGCAGTTTTAAATTACAACATGATTTCAAGTATTATAAATATATTGTTCTATTACTTGCAGAAAAGAAAAAAATATTTTTTACATTAACAACAATATTGTACAAAGATATTTTAAAATTTTATGTTAAATATAACATTTACTGTCATTAAATATCTGATTTCTGTGCACCTAATTTGGATATACAGTTGTCCCTTGATAATCCGACAGGTATGGGACCAAAGGTGTGTCAGATTACCAAAAGTGTCTGGATTACCGAAAATAATTACATATTTCGCATTGTTTTGCTAGCAGTAACTTACAATATTCTCTACTCCAACTGTTCGAACAGAACTGCTCACATAAAACACACGAAATGTGTGTCATCGTGTAAAAATTGGATGGGGAGATTCACATTGCGACATGCTTCTGTGCAAGCAGACATGTAACGGGGATGGGTACCTTGACGGGAGGTGCGTCGAACTACTGAGCATGTCGGATTAAAAAATGTCGGACTATAGAGGGACAACTGTATTGAAAAACTTTTTAGACATTCCTGTCTTTTTAGTGATGAAAGTTAATAAATAAGAAACATCTAACTGGAGAAATAAAGAAAAGAAACAGTGCACCTTGTAACTCCAACAGTATATTTTATAAATCACGCTTTAATAAAACATCTTTTAATTTTAAATTATTTCTGTTAAATTCAGTATGCTTATGTTCGTTTTATTTTAAATGGTGTACTTTACTGAGGAAGGTCTATGGTATTAGGTTGAAAACGTTATGATTTATTAAATATACTGCTGGAGTTACAAGGTGCACTTACTTTTGATGAAAGTTAAATACATACCAAAATAATTTCATTTATGAAAAAAGTATTCTTTTGTGAAGATTCATTCTCCATACTTTTTAAAATAATAATGTAATTTATAATATATAATATACAGTTGATCTCCATATTACAAAGTTCTCTTTTTAATGAAGTTTTCTATGGGATATTGAAAATTTATCTTTTTTATATTTAAAAATAAGTTTTGCATTTTAGTTTTGTATATGTCAGACAAAGAAACTTTAAAAGAACAGAAAATAATACCTACAGTATGTATACAGAGTAGCACAATATATGAGCCATTATGAATAATGAATAAATGAAAGTGGTATAAGTTCATTTTTGGGAAACAAATAAGTTATAGTTTTAGTAAGACATAGATGACCTTTTTTTATATATTTAATTACACAGTCAATGGTGTACAATATCCTCATAAATTAATCAAAAGAATATTAATTGTAAAATGTTATTGAAATAATTTTTTTTTTCTTTGAAAGGGGAATAAGTTATTTCATAATAATCAATAATAATTATTATTATTGTTTATTATGATTGGACATATTCCAATATTGTAGATCATTGACTGTGTTATAGCTATCCTTTTTTATATATTTAATGTCTCACTAAAATGATCACTAACTTATTTTTCCCTTGTGGATGAACTTATACCACTTTCATATTTAATATAAAAATGGCTCATTTTTATATTAAAATGAGCAATTTATTATTGTGATATCCTCACAATGCCAGGCTGCAACTTTTAATTTATTTAATTTAAAATATATACTCTCCACCTTAAATTATTAGTGGCTTGCTCCTGTACATACATTATACTTATCCTGTTAACAAATACAGTGGAACCCCGGTTAACGAACATCCTGGTTAACGAACTTTTATTTTGCAAAAATTTTGTCTTGGATAACGAACTTAATGACTTCTTGTGTCAAATTTGTAAGCTTGCTTTCACGAAACTTTCTGAACCACTTACAGCACGTGGAATCATCAATGGCTCCCTCACCATACACAGAACATATTTTTTTTGTGTCTGCGAAGCATTCTTGCCTTTTCAGAAATAAAAAAGCATAATATGTCGAAAATGCTCCTTATTTTCTGCCATTTGTAATGATTAACAAAATTTTAAAAACACAACTAAGTAACACAACTTTATTCTCAAATACTAGCTGATATTCCTTTTGTCAAACAACATCGAAATTTTACACATGTGAAGGAAATAACACTTCAGTGTTGCGTTTTTAGCCATCTGGTGCTAAAAACGGGACAAACTTTTGCATCAACCCAATAGCTTCCAGCCGTTCTGGAACCTCACAAATTTCAGTTGCTCTTAGGCGTGCGCGAGGTAGGCATTGCTTTTTTGAGTGTGCTAAACATCGTTTTTTAGTTTTGTTATTTATACTGTATATTTAATCAATATGGCACTGAAGAAAGAGAAAAGTGACAGTGGAAATAGAAAACGTTTTAGTGTAGCATTAAAGAAAGAAATTATTGCAAAATACGAGAATGGCATTCGTGTTTCTGACATCGCTAAAGAATATAATGTGGCAAAATTGACTATCTCTACAATTATTAAAAACAAAAAAGCATTTAAGGCTGCCGAAGGAGTGAATGTGGTATCGAAACAAAGATCTAAAGTTTTAGATGAAGTTGAAAAACTGTTGCTAATATGGATCAATGAAAAGCAACTTGCTGGAGACAGTGTTAGTGGAACTATAATTTGTGAAAAGGCTAAAAATTTATACAATGACTTGTTGACCCAGACACCCAGTACAAGTGCAGACAGGCAGGACTTTAAAGCAAGCCGAGGGTGGTTTGATAGGTTTCATCGACGAACTGGCATTCACAGTATCATATGATACAGGGAGGCTTCAAGTTCAGATGAAAAAGCAGCGAAAGCATTTGTAGATGAATTCGCACAGTTTGTAAATAAAAAGTGAAGGATATGTCTGGAATCAAGTGTTTAATTGCGATGAGACCGGTCTTTTTTGGAAAAGAATGCCTAGACAAACATACATAACCCAAGAAGAGAAAGCACTTCCCTGGCACAAGCCCATGAAGGACAGACTCACTCTTTTATTTTGCGCTAATGCAAGTGGTGACCTCAAAATCAAGTCACTTTTAGTCTACAACACTGAAAATCCCCGTGCCTTTAAGAGCAAAAATGTGATAAAGTCCAAACTGTCTGTACAATGGAAGGCAAATAGTAAGGCATGGGTAACTCGGACTTTATTCATGGATTGGCTCACAGAAGTGTTTACTCATACTGTTAAAAATTATCTTCAGGAAATGGATCTTCCTCTTAGATGTCTTCTCTTAATGGATAATGCTCCAGCACATCCACCAAATTTGGAGAACGACTTGGATAGTGAACATGACTTCATCAAGGTCAAATTCCTTCTACCCAACACAATTCCATTACTGCAACCAATGGATCAGCAAGTGATTTCCAATTTTAAAAAGATGTATACCAAGGCACTGTTTACCATGTGTTTTCAGTTTACCAATGATACCTACTTAACTCTTAGAGCTTTTGGAAGGAGCATTTTAACATCCTGCATTGTATCACCCTTATTAACAAAGCCTGGAGTGAAGTCTCTCACCGCACTTTGCAATCAGCCTGGAGGAAACTTTGGCCAACTTGTGTCCCAGAACGAAACTTTCAAGAATTTGAAGAAGAGAGCTCTCTTGATGTAGTGCATGAAATCTTGTCCATTGGCATGAGTTTGAGAGTAGAGGTAGACGATGCAGATATGGAGGAGTTGCTGAAAGACCATAAAAATGAACTAACGACAGAAGAGCTGGTTGCCATGCAGGAAGAACAGATGAAAATCTTACAAGAAGAGCATTCGTCAGAGGAAGAGGCTAGGGAAGAAATCACCAGTGCTGAGATCAAGGAAATTTGCAGAAAATGGAATGATGTGCAGGAATTTATTGAGAAGCACCATCCTAACAAAGTTGTGGCTAATAGGGTCATTAATTTAATGAATGACACTGTGCTAGTGCATTTTAGAAAAATTTTGATTAAGAGAGTAAGACAACTGTAGACCACTTTCTTGTTCCTTATTAAAAAAGACCTCGACTCAAAGAAACTCCTGATGCAGTGCTACCCGATATTTTTATGGAGGGGGATTCCTCTTCTAAGCATTAAGCTCTGTAGAAAGAAAGGTATGTACAGTACTACTTTATTAAACGTTACATATTTGTTGCTGTAATGATAGATACTACATTTTCTTATATTTTCATCAAAGAAAACCCATTTTACAAATAAAATTACAAAATTACTGATGGCTAGAATGGATTAATTGTATTTGCGTTAATTTCTATGGAAAAAATTGCTTTGGTTAATGAACAATTCAGTTAACAAATGGACTCGTGGAACAGATTACATTCGTTAACCGGGGTTCCACTGTAGAGTCGTGTCAGTCATCTAACACCTTTCGGTGAAAACTTTTTGAATTGAAATAATGACTTC